GTTGTAGCTGTTACAGGAGACACTATAGACAGCTGCAGTCCACAGGGCCCTGGGCTGGAACCCGGAGTAGAGGGTGGGCCCGGGTTCCCCCCAAACCTCCCAATTGACCTGGACTGTGGGTTCTCCCAGAGGGGAAGGTCTCTGGGCTGTTCCCCAACCCACATGGTGAATCTCTGAGGCAAGAAAATCCGCCAATAAGTGCAGGACCCACCAAAATAGAGGAGGAACTTTGTCACAATATATATAGAGAGCGAGCGAGATACCTATCTCATAGAACTGGAAGGGACCCTGAAAGGTCATCGAGTCCAGCCCCCTGCCTTCACTAGCAGGACCAAGTACTGATTTTGTCCCCGATCCCTAAGTGGCCCCCTCAAGGATTGAGCTCACAACCCCGGGTTTAGCAGGCCAATGCTCAAACCACTGAGCTATCCCTCCCCCCCCCAAACTTATAATACAGCTCCAAATTACAGGTACCAGGTACTGAATTCAGTTCTAGATTCTTGCACCGCTAGCAGAGAACAGGTTCAGTGACTCATGGTTTTCAGGAACAAAAACAGAAAGGTATTTTAAACTACATCAAGGGAGAAATGGACTTTTCAACCCAGCCCCACCCCAATGTTCTCCACTCCCTTCCCTGTAAGGTATTTATGTAAATTTGTATTTATAGACACATACACCACTGTTTTGCCTTCTAGGTGTATTTATAAAATTAAGGACATAACTTCAAATTTTATAATCTGCTACCAACAAGTGGCAGCATCCAAAAATGAAAATATATACAATCAACTGATCAGCTGCAGCCAACCTTGTGACAATTGTCTGTAGCCTAAGAAATTTGAAAAAGTGAAACAGAAGAAAATTAAGGGAACATTGTCATTTTCTCACAGAAAATGTTGGTACAGCATTGAAATCAGAAAAAAATGACTTACCCATAGTTAACATTTTCTTTGACGTCCACCTCCCTATAATTTTTTAAAAAGAGGGAAAAAAAATCATGAACTATTTAGCCATCTTTGAATGTCACAAAACAATCACGCTATCAACATGATGATCTAAAAATTCAATAGTTAGGATTTACTGCGCTATGTTACTTGGCTCTTGCAATGATTAAGGGCTTAAAAATTGCTGACCTTTTCCAACTTAAATTTAATGGCTCAACATACAAAGCTTGCTAAGGAGAAAATGTTATTTCCTATATCAATCTGGTTACACAGAACTGTTCCTGAATGAACTGGATGATCACTTTTTCAGGACTCAATTCATACTAGTTTTATAAATTCTGTTCAACTCTGCTGCACACAAGTAAAATGTTAAACTGACGATGTTTAAGGAGAGTACAAGTGGCTAGCAAAATGGGGCACTGATCTTGATGGGGTCTCTGCTGAGTACTACTGCAATACTGTAAAATAACCACCTGAATACTTGTAGATTTAAGAAGATAGGTTTTACACAATGTTAAAACCCAGGCTGAAATTATCCATCCAGGCTTTGTCTATTTAGATATTTAAGAATCTGCAATACCTGCATTGTAGTTAACCTGTTAATAATATTAGGGACAACATGTACTGGTTACATAGGAAAGTTTTTCAGAATCAGATAGGGGGGCATGGATCAGTGTTCATGTTGTGCTCCCCATCAGTACCCATCCCGGGCCAGGGAAGCTAACGATCCAACCAGTGGACCAAAATTTGGTGATGAATCCTGGTCACATGCCACTTAAGGAACATCGCAGATATGCTAAGGTGAGAATCAAATAAAACCAGGTTACCGAATGACTGATGTTAGCTTTTACTGTATATAGGGAGTTACTGTTCTGCAACTACCTGCAGAATTGGGTGCATGGTCCCTCTCATAGTGAAAACGTGGAAAAGGAATTATGTTTAATTCCAGGGCAAATCTGCGCCTAACAACCAACCAGTTTCATTTGCCCCTCTTATGTTTTCATTTCCTCCACAGTCAAACTAGCTGGGACCAAGGCTTGGCAAATGCATTCTTATACACTGAGGGGGAGTGTGAGCGTGTGTGTGTGTGTGCGCACACCAGGGCTTACTCTTTGGTTCCTACAGAACTTATGCGTTAATTTTTTTAAATTATTTTCTAGCCCATATGACTTAAAACAAACAAACAAACAGAAAACCAACTCCTAAGGGTGATTGGTGTCATATTGCCTGCTGGAGTCTACAGCCAGCCAGCCACACTGGAGAGCTGTGAACTGCTTCCAGTCCCCAAAGCAGGGTGCTGACTGATGCTTCCATCACTCCCACTTAGTTTTACCTCACAAAAATCCCGCAGGTTTGACGTTTCAAACATTTCCCATTGCCCCAAATCTTCCCACTCTGCAAATCCTGACTGCCTGTAGGTTAAGTCTTCTGGTTGGTGACCTATCAAATGATTAATCAAGGGCTGGCTAAGATGTCAGAGGCTAATCTAGTGCCATGCCAACTATGATTGCTGCCCTTAGACCAGTGCTTCCCAAATTTTAACAACCTGTGAACCCCTTTCACTAAAATGTCAAGTCTCGTGAACTCCCTCCTAAAATGTCTATTTCCAGGGATTTTCTCCTTTACCTGAGTATAAATTATAAAAGCAGTGATCTTGGAAATAAAAAAATTGTTTTTATGACATGCTTATTACACACTATTTCTTATTAATTATTTATCATTACAGTATTTTTATTACATTATGAAAACGGCAACACTCTTCCAAGAACTCACTTTCGTAGCTTGTATCAATTTGAATAAGCCTGTTATAAGATTAGGCTCCTATGTTTCATCAAGGAGTATCAGATGTGAAACAGCCTGAAGGTATTTAAGAAGCCAACTCAAAGAGTTCCTCCTACACAAGCATTCAGGTCCTGAGCAGTTCAGGCAAACAACGCACGTTACAACAAAGCTTAAACTTGTTCTTCATAATATTAAAAACAATCCTAGCTGCCTAGTTAATTTTAAAAACAGCAAAACATATCCACCTCCCTTTCCATTTCTTATAAGGAGTCTTGGAGTTTAAATCTCCTCAGTGTGATAGATACGCTTGCTTAGCTCTGGGAAGTCCAGGGTCTCCTGGCTGCTGGCCCCGTGCTGCCCGGGGTCCCTAGGGACAACTCTGTCCGCCACTAGGGAATTTTTCCCCCTGAGAACTCCCTGTAACATTTTGCAAACCCCCAGGGGTTCATGAACCCCAGTTTGGGAACCACTGCCTTAGACTTGCAGTGTAAGCATTAACCCAGTCAAGATGATGTTACTGCTGCTCTGATGATGCAGGGTATTGGTGTGTGTACACACATGATATTAAACTTTTTAGTGTATGTTTGAGTTGTGCAAATACCAAAGGAACACAAATCACTGGCCCAAACTAACATGACAAATTCAATACGCAACTAGACAATCAAATTGGCATACTAGGCTCTGAAGAAACAAGAGCAATGTACTTGGAAGGAATAAAGCTAAAAAAGCATAGAAGGAAAACTGGTTTTGAACTAGGACCAAGCTGAGGCATGCCAAGTAATAGTAGAGCCTATGGTTTTTGCTGGCGTGCGTCTGATGTTACATAAACGTGGCTAATCTTCAGAGGGCTGTGTATTTCTACACAATTGGAGCGAAAGGTTAACTGCAAACAGACATGGGGGGATTACTATCCACTCCAAAAAGCAAGGATGCAAGCACAAAGCCACATCTTACGCTGGATCTCGGACATCTCTAGTGATGCGATAATTCCAGTCCCGGAAAAATTCATTTTCTTTGTCGAATTCACGTTCATCTTCTCCAATGGTCACCGTAAACCGCTTCTCCTCAAAATCAGGCTCTTGTTCTTTTCTCATTGTCGCCTTTTTTAATACCTGTCACAAGGCACAATAACAGGCTTAAGGAAGCAACAAGTTTGAGGCATGGAGGGCAAAGTTCAGCTTACTAATGGCACATCAGCCCTAGTGAGGGACCTGCTTCTTAATTAACCTGTCCCTCTCCTATACAATTCTCACGAACAGTTAGGGTTTGGATATCTACTTGAAACAAGACGTAATATTTCACTATCCTGTTAGCTCACAAAGATGAATCAGACAGCCAAATTGGTGGGATCACTAAAAGGCTCTCAAGAAAGTTAAACCCACAGCTTCCTAGCTGAACAAAACGGGGTTCACCCTGGCAGCACCACAGGAAACAGCAGAGAGGCGATAGCACACTGTACCAGCTTGAAAACAGTTCTGCTGTATTGGCGGGTTGACTCCGGTGTCCTGGGCCCTGCTCAGGAGCGATCTCCACTGGCTAGTGCTGATGGGAGAAAGAGCTGGAAACCAGCTCTTCTTGACCAGAGTATTGCCATGTTATACCACACGAAGGTGACTGTTGGTTAAACACACAAAACAGACTCCCCCAAAGAAAAAAGGATAAAGTTACACATCCCACCAAAAGGTTCAAGGTTAGTGTCACGGAAACATCTTACAAATCAGACCGAAAGTAGCAGCTACGCCCTCAGACTCTTCTTAACTGTCTCCACCGGGCAGAGGAGAGACCACTGAGAGACAAAGTCATTCCCAGAGGCTTTGACTATATTGTCCTTCTGGCACCAATGATACCCATAGGCTGACTTTGAGCGAAAGAAGTTATTGTAGTTCTTAAAGAATCCTTTACCTCTTTAGCATGCCGGAGTCCTCTCTCCCAGGCACTTTCTGTTGGAGGGTCTGGAGGGGGTGGGGGCAAAATTTCATCAACGACAGGCGCACCCTGTTAGGAAAATGAGAAGGAAAGGGAAAAAGACACAGGCTGATATTAGAACTAGTTGGAAAATTGTGCTTTGTGAATATCCAGGTGAAACATCAGCAGGGCACACTTGAAAAGTTATTGCCATTTACTAGAGGTTGTGAAAAGCGCCTTCTTAAAACGTATGCATCCCACAAGAACATTTGATTTTGCTAAGTTAACGGCCCAAATTTAACACAACCGTCATCGCCTGCAATGTATTTGCAGATCTAAACAAGCAAAAAACACAGAAGCCGCAAATGCAAAGCGATGTTTTCATACCCAAGGGTTTGCTGGCATCAGTGGGTGAGGGCCAATGGGAGGAGCACCATTGGGTGAGAAAGGGTCTGGTTTGGAGATCAAGGAGTAGTTCCCTTTGTCGTTCACACCAGGATGGATAAACCTACAGTTCATTCCCCAAGTACAGTGACCTGTGAAAAAGCACAGAAATCTCATTCAAACGCTGCACAGAACAGTCAAACACCTGGAAGCTCTGGTATCTTGTTCAGCTCCAGAACTACCTGAAGTCTTCCAGGAGAGAACAACTCGGATTTTCAGAGACATGACCTTTCTGCTTCCCACCTTGGTTCACAGTCACTTGCTTTCAGGGCACCCGGCAAAGCCTTTTTGCCTGGGCTTTCCCTGAGAGATGAATTCAGTTGGGATCACGGGTGAGCGAAAACCTGAGACACTTACTCTGGTAGGGTGGGAGGGCTGTCTATGTAGGTAGTGATCCAGAGAGTTTTGTGTGCACTTTTATAAGTAAAAAGTGCTTAAAGCATAGTTAGGAACTTTTATAGCTCAAAACTAAATAACCCGGCAGGAAGTTTAAAAGTATCAGTCTGAGTTACATATACAGGCCAATGGCGGGGAGGAAAAATATAACTCAAACTCCTCTAATAGCTGATTCTGCACAGGAGCAGGAGAAACATTCTCAAGGGTCCAGAGACAAAATTTAATATCAGCTCCTCTGAAAGTCCACCTATGATGCTGCAGTGGGTTAGCTGAAGTTATCGTACCCATGGGGAACTCAGGTGTTTGTAATGCAATATGGATATGGCCTAGTTCCTGGTCTGAATTTAGCTCAGATTAGTAGGTAATAGAACTTGCTTTTCCTTTTAGCTGCTCACACAAAATCATTTGACGGACCTTCAGTAGAGATCCTGACAGGTGTCTGTGTCACACAACCACCACTATAACTGCAACCTTGATTGGCAGTCTCAGCATTAGCGATGAAACGTTAATGGGACACACAAATTTAACCACCTTCTCACCCCTAAAGGTGGTCCCTTCAAGTCAAGGTGGAGACACATTGGCAGGACAACACACAAAGGAAAGTTACATTGACACTGCCTGTGTTGTATCAATTCTGTGCTAAAGGGGCATTCAGTCTCCAAGGCTGTCCATTGCCAAGACACTAAGTTAACTGTGAGCTTGTATATGTGATCAAAGATAACACTGAGTAAGTTAACCTGAGGCATTTGGTACTGTCATGTTTTCTAAGAGGGTTAGTGTGCCCCCTTCAGGAACTTTATAAAACTGACTTCACTCATTAAGAAAGGATAGTATATTTCCAGTAGGGCTGTCAAGCGATTTAAAAAATTGTGATTAATCGCACTGTTAAACAATAATAGAATACCATTTATTTAAATATTTTGGATGTTTTCTACTGATTTCAATTACAACACAAAATACAAAGTGTACAGTGCTCACTTTATATTTATTTTTGATTACAAGTATTTGCACTGTAAAAAAACCAAAAGAAATAGTATTTTTCAATTCACCTAACACAAGTACTGTCGTGCAATTTCTTTAGCATGAAAGTTGAACTTACAAATGTAGACTTATGTACAAAAGAAACTGCATTCATAAATAAAACAGTGTAAAATTTTAGAGCCTGCAAGTTCACCCAGTCCTACTTTTTGTTCAACCGATCGCTCAAACAAGTTTGTTTACATTTGCAGGAGATAATGCTGCCCACTTCTTGTTTATGTCACCTGAAAGTGAGAACTGGCGTTCTCATGGCACTATTGTAGCCGGCATCACAAGATATTTATGTGCCAGATGTGCTAAAGATTCACATGTCCCTTCATAGTTCAGGCACCATTCCAGGGGATATGCATCCATGCTAATGATGGGTTCTGCTTGATAACAATCCAAAGCAGAGCGGACTGATGCATGTTCATGTTCATTATTTGAATCATGCCACCAGCAGAAGGTTGATTTTCCTTTTTGGTGATTCGGGTTCTGTAGTTTCTGGAGCGGAGTGTTGCTCTTTTAAGACTTCTGGAAGCATGCTCCCTACCTTATCCCTCTCAGATTTTGGAAGGCACTTCAAATTCTTAAACCTTGGGTTGAGTGCTGTAGCTATCTTTAGAAATCTCATATTGGTACCTTTTGTGTTTTGGCAAATCTGCAGTGAAAGTGTTCTTAAAACAAACAACATGTTCTGGATCATCATCTGAGACTGCTATAAAATGAAATATACGGCAGAATGCGGGTAAAATAGAGCAGGGGATGTACAATTCTCCCCCCAAGCAGTTTAGTCACAAAATTTAATACTATTTTTTTTTTAAACAAGCGGCATCAGCATGGAAACATGTCCTCTAGAATGGTGGCCAAAGCTCAAAGGGGCATACGAATGTTTAGCATATTTGGCACGTAAATACCTTGCATTGCCGGCTACAAAAGTGCCATGTGAACATCTGTTCTCACTTTCAGGTGACATTCTAAACAAGAAGCGGGCAGCATTATCTCCTGTAAATGTAAACAAACTTGTTTGTCTTAACGACTGGCTGAACAAGAAATAGGACTGAGTGGACTTGTAGGCTCTGAAGTTTTACATTGTTTTGTTTTTGAGTGCAGTTATGTAACAAAAAATATATCTACATTTGTAAGGTACACTTTCACGACAAAGATTGTACTACAGTACTTGTATGAGGTGAATTGAAAAATACTATTTCTTTTATCATTTTTACAGTGCAAATATTTGTAATAAAAATATACACTTTGATTTCTATTACAACACAGAATACAATATATATAAAAAAGTAGAAAAACATCCAAAATATGTAATAAATTTAAATTGGTATTCTATTGTTTAACAGTGCAATTAAAACTGCGATTAATCATGATTAATTTTTTGAGTTAATTGCGTGAGTTAACTGTGATTAATCGACAGCCCTAATTTCCAGTAAATGTATAAAGGATTTGAAAGTTGAATGCTGGGACTATTAAGAATCTACACAGACCATTTTTTATTTCTTATTGAAATATGTCAAGTGCAAGAGGAGGCTCTTGTGCATGTGGTCGAATGGCTACGAATTACGGGTTCCACTAGGATGGGTGTAAACACACATTATTTCACAGAATCAGTTATATTTATCAAAATGGACTGATGTGGCCACATGACATGATACTTTGCAATTAATTCCTCAGAGAGACCAGAGACCAGAATTGGAGCATCGGAGGTCCCACAATGATGCTTTTAGCTTGGCTCCTAGACAGCAATATTTCTATAGATCTCCTGTACAGGGGAAGACAGAGGAAATCAAGGTCACCCAAACAAAGCTGAAATCAAAGGAATGTATCTTTGGCAAAAGAGCTTGACGTGATTCAATCTGAATTTTCACACACTGAGATAAGGGCCTGGTGATTACATCCCAATGCATCACAGAATTATTGTAATCTGATTAAACAACACTAAGAATAAAGGACAAACAACCCCACCCAGAGAAAACTCACCTGGTTCAAACAGAGGAACACACCCCTTCCTGCGATAACACTACCAAACTCATGACAGGAAGCCATTCAACAACACAGGTGACCTACACTTAATGCTCAGCTCTTGGAAAAAATCCCAAACAAATCCCTGTGTATTCTTCCTTCAACATAGCAGTGAAAGCAAGTCTTCCCACTCCGCCCTTTCTAGCTTTATTTTAGTTAGTTTATTTCATTTACCATTTCTACTAAAACAAAAGCATTTGGGTGAACGCAACTTTAAGGGGAAGTTGAAGGAACTCAGTCTAATACGGTCCATATTAAATTCTGTTATAAACAAGGCTTTACAAAACCAAGTCTCCACATCTTTTGAAGAAATTCCATGGAAACAGATTTTAGTTTTTAAACATTCTCTGCAGTCTTTGCAATAATGTGCTAGCATATGAGACCTTGAAAGTGAAACTGGTTAGTTTATTTCCAATGGTCAAGATGGAGAAAATGCAAAAAGCAAGCAGAAAGCACAAACAAGTTAGTTTTTAAACCTTAGTTTTACTAATCTCAGGTGTTGTATGTAACAAAGGCAAGAATTTGTTTCTTAAAAATATGTTTTTTCACTCAATAGCACTCCTCTTTAATCCCAGTCCATAAAGACCTAAGTAAGTAAAATCCATTTATCCATGTCTGAATATTGGTGACATTGTAGCAGAATTTTTGGACGCCTTCGATCTCTAGCTAGCTTTGAACACTCAGCAGCTGACCTCCAATTGATCTGCCACAAATTATTTATCCATCTACTCGCTGGTCGTCCTCTACTATGATGACCTGCCACTTTTGAGGTTAGTTCCATTTCTGTGCCTGATGGAACCAACGTGCATAAGTTTGTGCCTATTGATTTCCGACAGCAGGGCCTGCTCGTCTCCAATAATATTTCTAATATATGCATGTGTCTTAGTTTTCCCATCCAGGAGATATGGACGAGGTTTTGACAGCACCATATCTCAAAGGCTTGAATTTTTTTCTTGTCAGCAGCATTAGTTTCCCACAATTCACATCCATAAATCACTATGGAAAAAATTAAGCTGTTCACCAATCGAACCTTTGTACATGTTGAGATGCCACCGTATTTTCAAACTTTTGTAAGGGAGGCCATTACTTGAGGAGCCATTCCTAGTCATGTTCTGATTTCTTTGGAACAGGCTCCTTGGTTGGTATGTATGAGCCCAGATAATTTACTCGACTGCCTCTACAACTCGATGTAATCGTACTGTCCGGGTAGTCTGTTTTTGTTAATCATGTCAATGTGCATGCATTTCATTTTCACTTCATTCAGGGATAGTCCATAGTACAACAGACTCCGACATCTGTTGCTTTCCCTTAGTGGCTGTAGCAAAGAGCATTGTGTCATCAGCTATCTCAGATTGGTTACGAGGTGTCTGCTAATGAAATCCCAGCTCCTTCCACTTTTGTCAAAACCTTCCAGGGCATGTCTTGTAACTAATTCTGCATACATGTTGAAAAGGCTTGGGGACAGAATACGTCCTTGTCTCACGCAGTGGAAAACCAGTCACTATCACCTGCTGCTGTTCGCACTGTGGTCTCTTATTGACAGTGGAGACTTGCAATGAGTTCATTGAGATGTTTTGGAATCCCCATGTCTGCCAGTATCCTCCAAAGACCGTCATGTCAGAAGGTATCAACGCTTTTGAGTAGTCAATGAAACACATGATCAATAGGTGATTAAACTCCTTGCATTTTTTAATGATATAATGGATAAGAACATAAGAATGGCCATACTTGGTCAGACCAAAGGTCCATCTAGCCCTGTATCCTGTCTTCCGACAGCGGCCAATGCCTGGTGCCCCAGAGGGAATGAACAGAACAGGTCATCATCAAGTGATCCATCCCATGTCATCCAGTCCCAGCTTCTGGCAAACAGAGGCTAGGGACACCATTCCTGCCATCCTGGCTAATAGCCACTGATGGACCTATCCTCCATGAACTTATCTAGTTCTTTTTGAATCCTGTTATATCTTGGCTTTCACAACGTCTTCTGGTAAAGAGTTCCACAAACTGTGCGTTGTATTAAAAAATATTTCCTTTTGTTTTAAACTTGCTGCCTATTAATTTCATCTGGTGACCCCTACTTATTGTGGTATGAGAGGACGTAACACTTCCTTATTTACTTTTTCCACACCAGTCATGATTTTATAGACCTCTATCATATCTCCCCTTAGTGGTTTATTTTCCAAGCTGAAAAGTCCCAGTCTTATTAATCGCTCCTCATAAGGAAGCTGCTCCTTTTTGTTGCCCTTTTCTGAACCTTTTCCAATTCTAATATCTTTTTTGAGATGGAGCAACCACATCTGCACGCAGTATTCAAGATGTGGGCATACCATGGATTTATACAGGCAATATGATATTTTCTGTTTTATTATCTATCCCTTTCTTAATGATTCCCAACACTGTTAGCTTTTGTGACTGCCGCTGCACACTGAGTGGATGTTTTCAGAGAACTATTCACAATGACTCCAAGATCTCTTTCTTGAGTGGGAATTTAGACCCCATCTAATTTAGACCCTATCCCTATAATTTTATATGTGATGCTTGTGATCTGATCACATGTGCCTCTTCCCTCTCTGAAACCGGCTTGTTATGGTGGTTTCAGTTTCTATGATTTCACTCAAGTGCGACAATAGGGAGATAATATGATTGTTACTACACTCTGTTATGTCTCCTTTATCTGATACAGGCAGAAGGATTTCATTCGTCCAGTCATCTGGTCAGTTTCTAATCATCCATACATCACTACAAATTTTCGACATTACATCAATATGTGGTCATCAATCACTTTTAACAATTCTGCTGATACGTTATCTGCCCCCAGTGTTTTACCAGGCTTTTTTAAAATATATATATAATAGCACACACCACTTCCTGTTGCAGGATTAATGGCTCCCGCTCCTCACTCTCCTTTCGCGGTCCTGTATTTTAAGTGGCTCTGATGAGGCATACAGATTGTCACAGTAATCCCTCCATCGGCATTTAGTGTCATCACCTTCAGTGAGGACTCTGCCATTATGATCTGTTATCATGAAGACCATAAAGACCTAAAACTTCATTAATCCAGATTATATTGTATCAGATTTCAATAGGTCTCACATTTTTGATTTTCTATACTGAGGGGAAAAGTTTCTCTTCCTAGACTACGCTAGTAGCCTACTCAGTCTGAATCCAGTGTTCTGTGCTAAAAAGGACACAACCATTCCTCACCTAATCAATCAGCCCTGATGCTACATCTGCCTTTAACACTGTGCCTCTTGGGAACTCTTTATAGACAGTTTCTAAAAATGTTCTGCATTTCAGAACAGCACATTTACGTGCAACGCATTGCTTGGTAGAAAAGGCAGACGCTATTCACCAAATGCAATACCGAGCAGATCTGTGTTGGTGGAGCTGAGAGGAAAGGAACATGACACACCAAGTTAACATTTACAGGGAAATGCAACATTATTTCTAGCCTTGTCTTCAATAAAAGATATTTCAATAAATGTCTCTCAAAGGAAGAAGTGGAATCCTATTGTTTGGGATTTATAGAAGTAACCTGGATATTGGGCTGCAGGGAATTCTGCCCTGACAGGGCATGAACTAGACAAGAACGAATGAGTATTTTCCATCTCTAATTTGTACAAGTACAATGTAATATTTTTAAAACATTGGAAGCAATATTTGATTATTAAGAGGACGTCTGAAGAGATTTTTATTTCAAGGTGCAGTAAGTCATCCTTTATTTGAGGCATTCTGCACTTAAGACAGAACAATTGTTACATATTTTGCATGTTGGCCCTGTGTAAAATCAGCACTTGGCCACCATGGAAAAGAAAGGTGATCTGAGTGCTGTCTGGGACAGCGTGCCTCATGGGACTGGTAGTCTAACACTTGCACAACTGAACAAGACACGATTCACTCCCTCTGCTGCAGTATATTGTTACCTTTCATGAAGAATCGGCAGGTGGGACGCGGCCTCACTTTCCTATCACTGGGATCTTTAACTTCTCCCTCCTCCAGATCATCATCCTGCAAGGCACAGAAGGACAGATGCTTAAGAGAGTCAAGTCATCATGAAAACCACAGACTCTTTCACAGTAAAATCAAAGCCAGCAACTCCAAAGTTACTGGGAATGTGTGTCCCGGGGCAACTGGGAACATACCAGTGTGATACGCACTGTGGACCTTCCTATGCCTAAGAAAGGGTAGGGAGGGTATTAATTCTCGTGTTCCAGGGAAGACTGGAAATCCTGCAAGCATCAAGAGCTTCTTAGAATCTGAAGCCTTGTCTAGGTACTAAGTTGCACCCATTTTCCATGTTTTTAAATTGTTTTAGTTAAACTGAGACAAACCCAAGTGGACACTCTGAAATCAACTGAACTGTATCATACTGATTTATCTTGAGTCCCTCCTTTAATTTATCAATTTAAAAATGCATGTTTAATTACAATGCTGTGACTCTTGTACACAGACCAGCCCGAAAGAGTGACTGATGAGGAGAGCTGATACAGATGTTGGGAACCTACATATTAAGTTCCGGAGGAAAATTGCTGTGTTATAACACTCATTTGAATATGCCTCTATCGTGTGTAGTGACAGAATCTCATGAACAGCCTTTCAGGGAGGAAGTTAAGTCTGTTGTTTTCATAGTCCCCTGTTGCAGCAGTTGAATCACACTCCCTTCTCCACCATTCCTACCCTTTTATTTTTTAACACCCCTCAGGAGTTCAGCGTCGAGTCATAAAGCAGCGTGGTTTATAATGGAACTCAGCAGAAATTGAGAGCCAGGATGCAGCACATGGAGAACCTTAGGAAGATGGAGTGCATAGAAGCTCTCCAAGTTACCTTCAAGATTAGTCATCCTGGAAGATCAGACATCCAAATAGGATTTATGTCTACTATGCAGCTGGGAGCGTGCTTCCCAGCTTGGGCAGATGGACGTGTGCTAGCTCTCCTCAAGCTTGCATGCTAAAAATAGCAACGCAGCCAGCAGTAGCACAGGCAGTGGCTCAGGCTAGCCACCTGCCCACTAACATGTGGACATCCTGGGTACGTTCTCCAGCAACAAGCCGAAGCCGTTGCCCACGTGACCCCTGGCTACACTGCTATTTTGAGCGTGCTAGCTGAAGCAGAGCTAGTGTGTGTCTGTCTACTCATTCTGGGAAGTACATGCCTAGCTGCAGTGTAGATGCACCCAAAAAGGTGTTGGAACCTTACCTTGCCTCTCCCAACTTCTCTACCTCAAAGAGATGCAAATATTGCCATACTGTGGAACACATCTTAATAGAGAGTGTGTCTTGTGGACACCTTCCCTCTCACTGGCAATCATGACATCCCTGTAGCAACTACAGTGATTACATCCATGGAAAAGTTATATGAGGAAAGCGTTTTATGTATTTTTAGCAACGTAATGGCTGGAAACCAGGAGAAATGTCCACTTGGCTCTGGATAACCCAGCTCTCCAGGGACCCATTGTTTAATATCTCTTTCACTCTATTCCTTTCGAGATTCTCTCAGGCCAGAACTCCTTTTAAAAAATGCCTGCAAATGGTGTATGTGTTTAAATCTTGTGCTAGCTTTTCTTCCCCATCAAGCTAAAAATGTCTGCAAACAGCATAAACTGCAGACAAATTAACATCCCCCTCCCCACAAAAAAGATGGGTCTTGCATTCAACATAATGTGAATGGAATAGCCAGCTTAACATAGCTCCTTTCAATAGAACTGTGCGAAATCTTTGCAAACCTAGTGCTTGAACAAAAGAGAGAGTATTTAATTCTGTGTGGTCTAACGAGAATCAGACAGCTGGGATCCCCATTATAAGATAATATATGAAAGCCATTCAGAGTGCAAATTCATCTTGCATATTAGTGTGGACAGCGTTCCCAGGAATCCCTAGCAATCGGGAGGAACACTTTAGTATTGTATCAAGATACATGTTAAAAGTTATTCTGAAATGATTTTAGGGATCCAGTAAATTTAATTGCTTGGGTTCTCCCACCACAAGGATTTCAGGTAATATAGAACACAGAAAAGTCTAACCTAGGGGTGCACAATAATTTTTGCAGGAGGCCACTCCACGAATGTTGGTAAGTTGTCACGGGCCGTACATTTCTACTATATTAATGGAGGGGGTCTAGGCGGGAGCTCTGGGCTGGTGCAGAGTGTTGGGTTGCAGGAGAGGGTGAGGGCTGTGGGCTCTGGGAGGGAGTTTGGTTCAGGAGGCAGCTCTGGGCTGGGGCAGGGGATTGGGGTGCAGGAGGGGGTTCTGACCTGGGGCAGGGGATTGGGGTGCAGGAGGAGGTGTGGGGTGCAGGCTCTGGCCGGGAGGCGCTTACCACAGGCAGCTCCCAGCCAGCAGGACAGCAGGGCTCAGGCAGGCTGCCTGCATGCCATAGCTCCATTCCGCTCCCGGAAGCGGCTGCGGCTGGCTGCTGCTGGCACATCTCTGCGCGCCCCTTGGGGGGGGAGGCGGGCAGTGGGGGTCTGTGTGCTGCCCGCGGCCGCAAGCACCACCCCCGCAGTTCCCATTGGCCGGTTTCCGCCAGGGGCGCGCAGAGACATGCTAGCAGCAGCCGTCTGCTTCCAGGAGTGGCGTGGGGTCACGGCAGGCAGGCAGCCTGCCTGAGTGCCCCGCTATGCTGAAGGACTTTTAGCGGCCTGGAGATCACGAGGGGGCAGCCAAAGAGCCTGGCGGGCTGGACAGAAACGTTAGAGGGGCCGAATCCGGCCTGCGGGCTGTATTTTGCCCATCCCTGGTTTAACCTGGGGTGAAACTGAGTCAGAACATTTGAGTCGTTTGAAAATATATAATGTATTTTATCAGATCACCTTCCACAATGAGCAGAACATAAGAGGAAACATGTGATCCTGACCACTGAGTTAGCCAAAGCACCACGTGATTAACCCGATAAAGAAAATTCAAGATATTTGTCAGAGGATTGCTGATTGGGGTGTGAGCAGTTTTGTTCAGACCTTTGGCCTAAGAATTGAGCCATTCCACTGATCAAAACAAACAAAGACAGGTGGTCAATGCAGAAAAGATCATTTTTGTTACTGTATTCTTCCTACAAGCTTTAGGACACACTTCTACTTGATTAAAAAAGGACTTGAGGTCTTTTTGAAGAAGCCCTAATAAGCTAAATCCTCTGTCATTCACACAAGTTTCCTGAACATTTTATCACAATGGGGTAGTTCAGCCAGACATCAATACATAATTTGTGTTCTATGCTAACTTCAGCTAATGCTGGTCTACACAGTTTCCACTCCGATATGAACCTCTTTTTCAAAAAATGTCACTGCCAGCTGCAGCCCAACTGAAAAACAAATTGAAACAACAGACTATTATTTTGTATGTCTCCTCCAATTAACTTCCTCTCCTTTAGTCGTCAGCAGAGAACATCCTACTTTTCTACCCTTTTCTAGTCCTGCTTTGAGCAGGGGGTTGGACTAGAGGACCTCTTGAGGTCCCTTCCAACTCTGATATTCTATGATTCTATTCTACCCTGACCTCCTAGCTCTCAGGTTTGGGCAACCTTCTTTGGCTGAGTACGACTAGAAATGACTCCTTTCCAAACCCATTGCTTCCTTGCTTGCTTATCGAGTGGTGCTGCAGTGACAAACTTTCCCTGCCCAGTTGCACCTCTTGCACGGGGAACAAGAAACAGAGCCAAGAAATTGCACTTGGGTCTGACATAGAGGAATTAATGCTAACCACCCGGCTTTTATATTTTAAATGCTGTCTTACGCTCCCAATAGTCAGAGTGAAGTGTGGTCTACATACAAGACTGGGAGCCCATAGGAAGGGTTCTAGGCCCTGATCTGTGTATTGAGAAAGTCATTTCACCACCAATTCATTCTCCTCCACCTGTAAAATGGCACTAACATTACACACGGTGACTGAAGAGTGCTGCTATGCAGCACTCTGGGCACAAAGTACGAAGTAAGCGCTATTGACCACAATTCCTAATGGGATCGGTCACTTTGCCTTTCCGAGTATAAACTCAAATCAGTCACCACAGGAAGTGTGCATCACCAAAGCGGCAGACAACAACTTACTTCTAATGTCAGCGATTTTTGTTATGTTGTTTGTGCAGTGCCTAGCACAATGGAGTCCTGATCCATGACGAGGGTTTTAAGGCACTATTGCAATACAAACAAATACAATCTATTTTAAGCACGTGGGTTTGCCACACATGCCGGATATCCCATCCGCAGGACCCATTATAGCCTGGTCGGTTAACAATGTACAACTGATGGCATAGCTTGTAAGCGCCTAGTTGGCTAACTAGTGCTAGCATTACCCAAAAGTCCTTTGCGAGCAAAGGTAGAAATCTGAAGCTCTGGAGACCCTGTGCACTGATCAGGACCAAGTTTAACTTGAGACATCTTTACAGATGTTGTGCACAACAGGCTTTTCCAGAGTACACAGCAACTGAAGTCACAGTTATGTACACAGCAGGCCTCCCTTTTCAGAAACGTGCATCTCATTTATATGCTGGGGCATAACCGGAGCTCGTGAGGAATGGGCAGTGGGGGACAGTTTGAGAGCCTACAGTCGGTAGAGGCCATAAATTAGGCCAAAAAAAAGCTACTGTAGATATTCACATCAAATATGACAGATGTTCAGGGCACGACAGCCTAAAAGCCAGCTAATTCTGACTCCAAGGGCAGAACACCACATTTCCCCACCCCACACAGGCGCTGCTGAGTTCCCTCCCCTAAAGGAAACTCAAACTTACATCAATCTCGCCATCATCAATTTCTCCATCATCTTCCTCTTTCTTCTTCTCTTTGAGGGGATCCTGGCCATCCTTTTCATCGTCGCTTTTACTGTTGGATTTCTTCTCGTCCTCAGGTGCATCGTCTCCCTTCTCCTCCTCCTCGTCATCCTCACCCCCCGCCTTCTCTGCCTCATCCTCTGGAACAGCAGCACTTGGCTCCTCGGGAACCTCCTCATCGTAGTCCAATTCATGCTCATCCAGTTCCCGAGTGACAGAGGATGCTTCGTCTCCAAGATCAATTGTCCGTTCTTCCTCCTCCTCCTTGTGACACGGGGAGCTCTTCAGCTCCCTGCTCTGCTCATTATTGTCAGAGTCCTGAGACTTGGTTTCACTTAAATGGTCCTCCTCATCTGAGTGGTTCTCCTCTTCGCCCTGACTCAGTCCCCTGGCCGCATCCTCCTCTTCCTCTTCCTCCAGAATGTTGCCATGACCCTCTCCATCCAGTTCCCGATCTGAGCCACTCTCTTTCAGGATTTCGTCGTCTGAGAGCTGCTGGTCCTCCTCTTCGGGAGAGCAGGGGTGTTGCTCAGGGCTGTCGGAAACATCCATCAGTACTTGCTAGTCTGCTAAGGGCAAACACAATACGTTTAGTATGTGGAACAAAAACCCTGTCCTCACTCATTGTATAAAATACAGGAATCCAGTTTGTATCTTTCTACTGGAGGAGGTGTTGCCTGAATGCATGGTCAGGGCTTACGTTAATATCTTAACAAAGAAGAGACTACAGATGGTCTCAGCTTACTCCGCGGACCGAAAGAAGTTTAAATATCCAAACATCTTAAACTGTTTATTCCAGTACTGTCGAAGACGGATTACTTAAACGGGATGCTACACCTTGTGCATGCACAGATACAACCTCAGCCTAGGATTTCACCTGTTTTCCAAGCTACACGGGGTCAGGCCAGATCACTACTTGGATAGGTGACGTCCCCAAAAAATTCCAGATGCTGCAAGAAACGGTGTGGTACTCTTCCCTAGAAGACGATACTTAACTAGAACCTCAGCATGGTGATATGCTGCAGCTTCGGGATGACATGTAATATAGAAGACCTAACCAGACATAGTTAGAGATCCAAAGATAATCGCATTCGGTCTACCTAAAGTAATTCCCCTCTCATTTCAACTGGATACGTTCTTTTTCACATCTCCCCCTAAAAGTGGTGGGCAGCACTGCTGGTGTAAAATGGCTGCTGCGTTCCACCCCAGAGGTAGCTGTATTTCAACAAGACGTGGGTGAGCTCTATACATTCAGGGTCTGATTTCAGAAGTGCTTAGTTCCCACAAATCTATCTGAAGTAAATGGGAGCAATGGATGGTGCAGCTACTCCGATAACCTGGAACACAAATTGTAATGAACGTTGGTAAAATCAGCTATATATATATTGGTCAGATCAAAGACAAAATGAGAACTGTATGTATGTGTGACTAGTTTAGATGATTAAGAAACGTTTAATAAAGTTAAATTTAGAATGCAAAACTATGTCTAAGCACCACCCTCTCTATATAGTAACATTGTATCCAAACTATCTTTAAGTAAACATTTCAATATCAAATATATCCATGTGCTGCATAGTGTCTTTTTTTGTATGTTCAATATGAACATTTAAAAAATTAGGTCTCTGCTTATAATAGAAAAGATAAGTACAGTAATGATAAGAGGCAAGGCAGAAGGCATTTCAGAAGTAATACATCAAACGCATTCGTGTTCCACAAAGGAGAAGGCTGACTTTATAGGGGACTGGATGGCCCAGGGAACTGATAAAGAGGTATAGGTCTTCTGACCTCCAGGTAAAGTTGTTACCATTTGATAGCTCTTTGGTACTCTATGCAGTTACCTTAACCCTGAGAACAAAGTACATATCACCAGACACACCACAATAACTGGCACCAGTTGGCAGTCTCAGAAGCAGCCCAGGACTGAATGGGCATGGGTCTAAACTGGGTATAGAGGTTACTCCTCCAGAATGCTGGAGAGGCAAACTAATGGTGTAGCATGGGGAAGTTTGTACTGTAGTTCTCCATCCTGTACCTATGGCATGATTAAACAGAGGCTTTAAGTTCCCAGCACTGTCAATCTAACGCTTTTCCAACTACTAAATTCACCATTAATTTTATATATGTGTGTGTGTGTACACAGACGCGCGCGCGCACACATAGTCTGACTTTTCTTTGTGAAAGTGTTCTATAATAACGTAGGTTTGGGAGGGCAGGAGGCAGAGGTTAGAAGTCAAGAGGAAAACTGGTATTAGGCTTGCTAAGGTACCTTTATAGCTGAAAGAAAAATCATGGGATTGCAAATCAGTTTTATTAAATTCCTCTCACAGACCGATTCCATCCCCCAAAATATGCATCATGCTTCACTCAACGGATTCATCTCCATTATAGATCGCTGAAAGCTTGTTCACTTTGTGGAACAACTGCAGTTGAGAGCTGCATAAAGTGCCAGATTTTCATGGTTTACATTTAAACCCTTCAAATGCAAGATGCTACACGTATAAAATATTATATTAAACCAAGCAGAAGGGAGCTTCTTTAAGGAGACAACCCATGTCTCCTTCAAACAGTTTGTATCCATTAATTCTACTTCTGTGTGAAGAAAAAGAGTTACCACCACCAGTCAGCTGTGCAGTATTTTCTCCTCTCCTGATCCACAGCTAGCTCACTCACTCTTCACTACTGAGTTTCTTTGACCCAGACTGTAGCAAAAGAGACTGCCATTTACCTTAGCGGTAGGCAATAGACGATGACAGGGGCATGCTAGGTCACTAGGGGTCAAGCAGACTGCCATGAAATCTAAACAGATTTTAAGACTGAAAAAACAACAAGTCTCAGAATTTTCAACACCAAACCCTGGCTGATTATTATGGAACTTGGATCTCAGCACTGAAATGGGACAGGAAGGGTGTTACAGGCAACATGGTTTAGTAGTTAGAGCCCAGGAGAGGAAGCCAGGAACTTAAACTCCAATCCTTGCTACTGATTTGCTATGTTGGCTTGGGCAAGTTGCTTAGCTTGGGTTTCTCAGTTTCCTCATCTGTTAAAAACAGCAACAAAAGAGCCTTAGTTTCCCCCGACTTTTGGTTTTGTGCCTTCTTCCAGGAGCCCCCCCTGCATGGATCGCTCTCACTCCCAGTCAGCCCAGTTTACCACTGAGATTATGGTAATGACATTTTAGTAGTAGCTTCTAGTGTTTCTCAGCACACAGAACTTCCTCAAATGACCAACTTTGTGATTTTATTAAGAAATTAAAAACTCAATAAAAACATAGCTAATTGCTTCCTGCTAATTGCAGCGCTGGACAGTTACATACGTTATGGGACAGATTTCAAATAAATTGTGCTTTCAAAAACATTTAAAGGTTGCTGCTGAACTCAAATGTCAGTCACAAATTGTTACTTTCTGTAAGAACAGTTCTATGACCATTTTAATTATCTAACTGCCTGAGAAATTACCCTTTCCAGCACATGCATGGCAATTTACTTACAATTGGTTACATCTCACATAAAAGGTCAACATTAACAGGCCTGGAGAAACGTACAAACTGTCAAGCAAAGATGAGATAGGGGAATTTATTTGTTTTCTAACCTGCTGCAAACGAGTTGTTTCAAAAGAGGATGCGGGTTAGGGGATGTGAAGGGAGTGGGAGAAAATGTGCTTGTGCTCATTTTATCAATTTAGTTGCTGAGTACAAATGTTCACCTCTGCTGGCTGTTATTAAAACTTCAACAAAATCACAGTCTAGTCCTAGTACCTCTCTCTCCTGTTGAGCTCCACTAAGAAGTGATGGAAGGGACAAATGTCTATAAAACCAGTGCTGTCTTTAATAACAACATTCACAAAGGCAAGTGTTCATGTTAGTTCATTACATATTTCCTGCTTCCCAACAGCAGCATTGCAAGTTTCCCCATACCGATCCTCGGCAACAGGCCTCAAACCTCGTCTGCTGGGTCATCGCTAAGGCTACTTTGATGAGGCAGCGCACATGGGAAGCTTGCAATGCCTGCTGTTACGTGGATACACAGAGAGCCCTCGGTTCAGTCAGCTGGTCAGTCTCCATGGCCATCACTCTGCCTCAGTTCACCGGTACAATAGAAAAACTATGCCCAGACGAACGAATGCTGTGATTATCATGCTACAAGCAACTATATGGAAATCAAGAAAACCCACCACAAGAATCACAAGGTGAAACTAGAACCAGGAAAAAAGTGGGGAGATAAAATGGTGCAACGATTTTTTATACTATGGGGACAGGAGTGGCCATCATTCTCCTTGTAGGCCACTATCTGTTGTTCTTTCAGTGAAAGGAAGGTTAGTGAAAATCCCAGCCTAAACTTTACTCCGAGAAGTTTAGATTGACAGAATTTACCACCCTACCAGAGCAATCAATCCCGCCCTGGCTGACGTGGCGATGCCTAGGCCCTAGATGACACACTTGACTCTAAGTTCTCAGATTCCCCAAACAGGTCCAGAGGACTGGCGGGAAAGCAAGTGAGGAAGCTGTGCTAACGCCACAACAGTTTTATTTGGAGCAGTATTACAGAAGTATGATAGGACAGGAAGAGATGCATTGTGACTGGCTGAGAGCCTTGCTTATACAGTGGAGGTGAACTAAACAGATCTGTTCAAAGAAAAGGAATAACTCTGAACCTCATGCTACAAAATTGGCCCAGTTTATAACGGGTTAAAGGCAAATTTGTGAGAAATACAAATGGATTGGGGGGAAGGGGGAGGGGGAGAACTACCAATCCACATATAATGCTACAGGATTTATAACCTAGAGTTATGTGGCAATAAACCAATTAATAAATATTACCTTCAACTTAACGCACTTCAAAACCACTTCATAATTTATGGGTGGGGCCACCTCTGTTTAAGGTCGCCTGACTTTTTCCATTAGAAAACCCTGTTTTCAGTTGCCTGTAACTTTGCCAAACTTTAACCTGAATCAGTGCCTGAACCAGGCTGGGGTTTTGGTTTTCTTTTTCCCTTGAAAGTTTCATCTAAAACATTTCAGTTGTTTCTGAGAATGGGATTGTAGAAAAATGTTGGTTTCACTCAAGTTAAAAAAAATGCCTTCATGCGTTGGATCTGGGATTTTAAATTTGGCAGGCAGGGTTGTTCTGGTGCCAGGGATGTACCTTTTGCTGTCCCCATGAGAATTCACCCACATTTGGCCAAGTTATTAGCCTTTGAAAAAAATCTAGTTCACATACGCTCAGTAGAGACTTGCTAGACTTTGGGAGCTAAATTCTCCTAAGATTCTGCCTGCACTGAGCATTCTGCATCCTTCACAGTTTCTACATGTGACTGGACTGTGCATGTGTTATCCCCACAGAGCAACTGAACATGTTCCATCGCAAGGGTGCAGAGGCTGAGCAGGACCGTCAATTGCACCTCCCTTGCTGCCAAGGGTTGTGGCACCAGAACTGAAAGCAGGGAGACTGTCTCTCCTTTGCTTTCAAAGCCTCTACCTTCCTCCCTCCAAGCCAGGCAACATAAAGGAGGAAACCGTTTGACCTGACTGCAGAAGGGTGACGTCAAAAGTGTGGCATAAATGTAGGGT